TGTGAGGCCAGCATGGGACTGATCCAAACCCCTGAATGTGGATGTCAGTAAGGAGGCTTCAGCACTCTATGGGGCCTCTGGTAGGTAAGTATTTTTCCCTGGAGTAAGAAAGGACTTTGAGAGCCCATACCACGTGAAGGGATGCACTCTTGCCCTGAACACATGGGGGAGGGCCTAGGCCTGGCGCAGGATGATGTGGTGGACTTTGGGGAGCCACCATCAAGGGACCTACCCTGCCTGGGGAGTGGAGGGTGGATGGGGTAGGGAGTATGTGGGGGTTACGGGGAGGGGAGGGAGAGCGAGAAGGGATTGACATGTGAAGCAAGCTTGTTCCTAATTTGAACTAATAAAAATAAGGAAAATATAAAATAAAAAAGAAAGAAACACAATAAGGCTGGGGCATAGGAAGAACTAACAAGGGAAGAAGTTAACAAGCAAATGAACGAGTAAGATGTGTTCACAAGACCAAAATTTATGAACTAAGGAGTAATGTGATAGAAACTGTCCTAGGTAGAGTATTTCTGTACCACTTGCTCTTATGTTCTGAAATACATGAATGGTTTCAGAAACCCTCACAAAACAACAAACCCACTACATTTTTCTACTATATAGTATGTTATAATTTTCAGAAACAGGGTTGTTTTCTCAGGATATTTTGAAACATATTTTTTAAAAAATTGTAGTGACATTCAAGATGAAAAATACCCCAATGAACAATCATCCCAAAGTTCCTTTATCTTATTGTATAATGTCCCCAATTACTAGCTCTGCTGTGCCTCTGCTATGGAAAGAGTGATACCCCCATTCCAGTTATGTGTTAAGATAAACTAAAGTACTTGAATGTGAAGAATTATTTGTTTCTTATAATTGAATACTTATAACATATTCTAGATTATTACACAGACCTATTTAAAAGTTCCAAACATTGATCAGAGTATTTAAATTGCAAAAATTGCAGCATCTTACATAAGCTAAGGTTTTGTTCTTGATTAATCGCAGGAAGAATTAAACTGCTAAAGTTGGCATATGGGAAATTTGTGAAAAAGAGGAGCTCATATTTTGTCTGAAATTCTGTTTGCCACCTTCAAGTCTTTTATTTCATCAAGTTAACATGGAGGAGAGAGAAGAGGTCAAGAGAGTTTTAGTTATATCCTCTTTCTCTTTTCTTCAAAAGGAAATCATGTTTCTTTTCCTCACCAATTGAAACAGTTTTTCTCCTCATGTTTTATTCTTTTTAGGGACAAATGTTACAAATGTGGCCTTTGCCATCATACACTCTGACTGTTTTTTAACATGTAAAATATGAGAAAATAACATAGTCTCTCTACCTTTGAAAATGACATATCCCATTGCTGTTCCCAACTCATCACTAACATGTAGATATAAAAACTCATGGGCAGAATACTGAGATGAAGATGAGAATCTAGAAAACTGAATGCAAGCTTAAGGGAAGCTGTGTAAAAGTAAATCCTTTCTCTTCTTTGAAATCTGTTACTCAAATCGATCTTTTCAATTATGATGCTTTCATTTGTGAAATTTTCTTCTTTATTCTGCCCTACAGTATACTTTGATGGTTAAAAACTCCCACGATGAATTTAGACTCAGTGAATAGGTCTTAGGCATGTTGTTTGCTAACAGGGTCACTTTGGGGAACTTATTTAACCTCAATGCCCCTCATTTCTTCAAATTCTAAGACAGTGTGAGAAAGAAATCTACCTTTCAGGGTTGCTGATATCATCACATGAGTCAAACACTATGAAATGTTTAGAGCAGTGGATGGAATGTAAAATATAGCCTTGCTAGTTGCTAGCATTATTATTATTTCATAGTGCATCGAGTTTTTATAACAATGTTTTCAATTTAATAAAATTTCAAGTTTTCCTCTTCATTATGAGAGTTGTATGTTAGAACTGTAGATAATTTAGGATAACTATAAAGAAGGGAGAAAATGTGCTTTCTTTGTAGTCATACTACCACAGGGAAGTAACTGCTCCCAGTATCAGATACATTCTTTTCTAACTATCATTAAGTCCATTTGTCCTTTTCTACCTCTCTTCATGACCACTCCTTTCATAGGCACTGTTAAAAGCACAAAAATATCTTTAAAAATAAGTAGATTAGGAAATCCAGTCAATTAGAGAGCAGGAAGCCTTGCTTCTTCTCCCTGCATTTCCCAGTTCCTTAAGTACCACTGAGCACTTCAAAGACCAGCTCTGCTCTTTGGTCTCTCCATAAACTTATCCCAACCATACAGGGATCCCTAGAGCTTCCCTTCACCGCCTTTAGCAATGATACAAGATGTATCCATTCATTTTGAAAAGCAAGCTGATGGGGCAAAGAAGAAAGTGGGTGACAAATCAAAAGGTTTAGTATACCTACAGAGGATGTGCTTTAACAAAATGGAAGAGATCAAATGATAAAAAATTGTTATAATCTCCTTAGCTGCAGGAACTCTGGTGAGGGCGTCTTTAAATTGTTAATTATAATGTGCTCTGCTTTCAAAAGAATGTCCTTGGTTATGCATTTAGAGTAATGCCAAAGAGAATTCCATAACAAACATTCACTAATTTTATTGCTTTTTGTATGACACTGTGATAAGCCAAGAGAGAACTCTGAAATTAGGATCACTGTGCTCCCTATTTAAATTTCTTCTAATGTCTTAATATGCATCTCTCCTGTGGTTAGGAAACAGTCCCATTTTAATCTAACCTGAACCCTCAAGTACAATTTCCATTCCAAGCAAATGAATGATTCATTTATTCAAAATAAAATAAATCATTCTGAAATTGGGTGATTTGCATAAGCATGTGAGATATTAGCTACCTATGCTAGTAAAATGAGGAAAATTTTGTCATCTTTATTCAAATCTTGATTCCCCCCACCCCAGGCCAATCATTGCTTACCTGATGTTGAGAGACTTTTTCCGAAGCTCACTCCACTTGAAATTCATGTTATCCAAACGTCGTTGTAACAGGGCTGCTTCATCTGAACTTTCCAGGGACCTCAAGATTTTTTGGCCATTTTCATCAAGATTGTGATAGATGTCCGTGTGAGCTTCAATTTCACCTTGGAGATCCTACCGGACAGAAGGAAGAACACCTTCAGTATTATCAAATGAAGAAACTAGCTATGAATGTGAATTTTGAGAACTTAAAATAGTTACTAGTTCAAAAGAAATTCTAATTTGGCAACTAACAAAATACTCCTTGCATCAATATTCTTGGGGTCCTGCCTCATGAAGTTATTATGGAGATTAAAAGTGGATATCATATTAGATGTAATGTATGTATTTCTTATTTTTATGGTTTTTATGAACTAGAAGTAATAGATTTATAGCACATTTCATAAGGTAAAGTTTCTAGTCCATGTATAAAATATTCTTAAATATACATATATTATGAAATAAAATGACATGGTAAAGTAGATCCCAGTGATAATCATCTCATTGAAATATTAATCTGTTTTGTTGGCTGTGACCATAAAAGCATAAAGGGGTGTATAACCAAGGTTGTACTTGTTCCACAACATCAGCACATTAATGGGACTCTAGGAGGAGACAAGAGCATTTTTTGACAACACACATAAAATTCACTGTAGTACTATGGCATCATACACATATTACAATATTATACATTGATAATTAAGCATTTAATATACCATTTAAAATGCCAACACAGTTTCAGGCTCGGCAGGTAAAGAGTCCTTGGTAAGAATTAAGACAAGAGGTATGTACTAATTTTCATCTGTATAGATTCAAATAAAAACATCATAACACACGAATCTGACCTTTACATGATATGTCTTCCTGTGCAACATTTTCAGCTTGAACCGGGGACTACAGCACTGATCCTGTTGCATAGCAAACCTAAGAAAACCCAGAAATGGAATGGGCCCTGCTTTCAAATGCCAATTCTGCTTACATTCTGTCGACAGAACGAGTTTAAGAGCACAGACTTGTACAGTCAATAATCATAATCGGCCACTTTGTACTGCTTGCTAAGTGGTAGCAAGGCGTGTGGATGTGGGAGGGACCTCAAAGAATGGAGGCCTGGAATATGCAACTGACAGTTGTATTAAACAGCCAACTTTTCTTATCGTTTTGCCATAAAAAGCCAGAGACATTATAAATTCATTTTATATATGTGTTTCCCTCCTTGTTCCCAGCAGAACAGTCAAAGCCAAAGGAACATTCCTCAGAGAGCTTCCCGGCTCCAGCATTCCATTCTGCCTACACAATGAATGGAGGCTTTGTACATTATTTGACTTGCTCTCACAGATTTGTATGCTTCTGTTCAACAACTTTAAAAATTCATTCTGAAGCTCCGAAAAACTGGATTGATCTGTGTGACTAAAAAATTTTCTCCCTGCCCCCCCACCTCATACTCTTTCTAAAATTTAATTAAATGACTCTGCTGAAGTAAGAGGGAAAGTGGCAGCAACAACATGTTAGTAATTCTAAAGAAGTAGCTCATGTCTGCAGCCATAGCCATTTTAAATGCAGAAGTTTGAGTGCTGCAGAAGTAAGGTAGATGGACAATGAATGTTTCTTGTCACTATTTTTGGCAGCCAAAGTAGCCAAGATGGACTCAGAATACTGGAAAAGGAATACAGATGGGATGACCTCAGATGCTAAAGGAAGGAAATAAAACAGATGGAAGAACATCTATCCTTATCATACAAAACTTGGGGATGTTTTGGAATGTTATAGCTGGATTTTAAAACTAGAAAATATCGTAGAAAATTATTCATGAGTTTCTTGCTGCATGTAGTTTAATCAGATAGACATCATTTCCAGGATTTTATTCTATCTTTCTGTCTCATTGATACACTGGGAAACACCACACACCATAAACACACATACACAGACAGAGACAGAGAAAGAGACAGAGAGAGACAGAGAGAGACAGACACACATACACACACACACACACACAGAGAGAGAGAGAGAGAGAGAGAGAGATTTGCTACCCAGGTTGGGCTAAGACTCATGATTTTCCTGTCTCAGTCTTTGAAACTTTGTTGTTACATACATGCAACACCACATATAGAATTTTGCTTCTTCATTTTCTAAATCTATATGGTATACCTAATTTTCCATTACTTCAGCAAAAGAGTAAGGTGATTTAATTATCTAAATAATTCAGAACAGAAAAACAGACCTAATTTTGAGAGCATTCCTTAACTTGTCTCTTACTTTGTTTGTACACCACCCAAAGTTTCTATCCAGAACATGCATTCATGGAACCAAGACTTGTGTATGTTCAGGGGAAAAAAACTATCATATTCTCTCCCCCTCTCTCCCCTTTCTCTTGCTTTCTGGAACTCAGATGTTTTTAAGGTCATAATACATGGAAGGCCTCTACCACCACTAAGATACATCCCCAGGCCCAGAATATAATTGAACCAATAGAATGATTGTTCAAACCACCTGAGCATATAAATGATCACACATTTGAACTTTTCTGTCTTGCCCTGATAGCAAAGAACCAGTTTTAATTACTAGTTACTTAAACTCATGTGCAGCGTGAAACCATCAACATTTTTCTTTGCTGAATAAGTGAGGAATTCTGAGGTGCAAATAGAATGCCGATTCATTAATGTGCTAATTTTCTTCTTTTCCATAACTGGGTAAAATTTACTGCATATACATATCTTTGTTGTCTCATTAACAAAGAAAAGAACACAAAATGAGTAAGTAAGTATTTATCTAGTAGCAATTATTTGTTTAGCTTTGGCATCATGGGAAATATAGGAGAAATGCAAGTAATAATTCTGTCTTTAATTTTAAAAATCAAGTGTGCATTTTTCTTTTAATTCATTTATATTAGCAACTGAATTTTGATGAGGAGTTCTTGCCAAGTCTCATAAACACTAGGAACAAAACTCCTCCTTTTAGAAAGGAATACTGGCTGAAGTATTGTGTTAAACCTGGCAGGCAAATCTATGTCAGTTATAGTTTTCTATGTTGTGGTGGTAGTATAGAGCAACAAATTAGAGAGGTGCAGTATGGACTTTCTATGTCACACAGTTCTTATTAATCTACCACCCGAGTTATTTCTTCTTAGCACTGACTCCTAGTGAAGCACATCTCATTTTCTATGTGTCACAGATAAGAGAACTTTAACTGACTTGCTTAGAGTCGTGTATCTAGTAAATGTTAGAACTGGGAAATTGATCTGGCTTCCTTTACTTTACCAGATTCTAGGCTGTTTCCAGTAACATACTGTGCATGATCATTAGATAAAATACTCAGTAGCCATTGAAGCTGCACAAAGAAAACTCCAATGGTAAAAGAAAGGAACACTGAAAGATAGCATTAATAATTTTGATTTAAAGAAAAACACACAAAAACATTTACCCACACAGATCACTTGTTTCGAGTGAAAAAAAAACTGACTAGATTGTTCAGTTTGCAACAGGATGCTCAGAGCCACCTACAAAAAAACTATGCTGAAATTGTCTCTTTACTTTAAGATATTTCTGCTGTCAGAGAAGAAATTATCCCAGTGATTAATCTTTTTGTTTGCAAGACCTTAGGGATAATTAGTTACATCAAGATATGACCTAAAATATCATTATAAGCATTGTTTTGTCACATTCCTGTGGGATGGCAGACTAGTGCCAAGTCTGTCAAGACCCATGCGCACTGCCTTGGACCTGAAGTAAATATTGGTAAGCGACTCTCTCCTAATGGTTATAATGAAGATTTTTCACCACCACCCGGCAGTGGGAGTTGTAGGTGAAGAGGCAACAAGATACAGCAGGTAGGATGAAATATACACCTATTTGCATAAAACTACCAGGAGGTCATAGGTCTTAAGCTGATATTATATTTAGCAAACATAGAAAAGCAACAAGTTGGTAGAGATAATAGACAGGATTCTCAGAAGGTAATCAATCTGAACACAGGATACTTTTTTATAGAAAATTTTAGTTTTATTGCATTTCTGGACTAACTAGAAAAGATCAATCAAGTCATAGGTACTACATCCATTGTGGGCTAACTGGTATTTCTTTGTTCTCTTTGTGATTGTGTTTCCCTAGGGGAAAAAAAAAACAGTAGCTAGTGAATAGTGAAAAAGTATTATCTATATATACAAGAGCAGCACCATACTTAAGACTTACTTTTCACTAGGCACAGATCAATGAACTGTATATGCTGAAGTTTATTTAATCTTTTCAATAGTCATTTATAGTAAGCAACATTATTATCTTCATTTTCTATGTCAGAGTGAGAATTTATAGTAAAGTTAAGCAATGCCCATGATCACATATCACATAGCTAACAAACAGTGCTCTAAGATTTTGAACCTAGATACTCAGAGGTCAGGGCTTATGCTCTTAACCATAAGGGTATATTACCTCTGAGGTTTTAACTGACTGGTGATGACTTTTCCTATTTATATTATTCCTACACATATTTCAGTAAATATAGCATTGCTGTGAGAAAGTGGAAACTATTATTGTTTTCAGTACTCCAAGAATGACTTGACGATCTTATTATTCTGGAAATTGTTAAATAGAGCTGAAGCAGTGGATGGGAATACAACAAGAATGAACACGAAGTTGAGAAAATGAGTGCAAATGGAAAAATGCTAGGCACTCCTGGAAAAGAAAATGTATAGCTTAAAAAGCTCTATAATTCTGTAGAATAGTCATCGATGAGCACCAAGAAGGCTCAGACATGCTATTATAAGGACATGAGAGAGCAGAAAGATTGAGTCAGGGGAAGAATAGAGGAGAGCAATAAAAGAGATATCATAGAGGGAGCCATTATAAGTTTAAAGAGAAATCTGGCACTGGGGAAATGTCCAGAGATCTACAAGGATGACCCCAACTAACAATATAAGCAGTAGTGGAGAGGCTACCTTAAATGCCCTTATCTGATAGTGAGATGCCATCCAGTAGCTGATGGACGCAGAAGCAGACACCCACAGCTTAAACATTGAGCTGAACTCCAGGAATCCAGTTGCTGAGAGGGAGGAGTGAGAAGCAAAGGGATCAAGACCCAGCTGGAGAAACCCACAGAAACAGCTGACCTGAACAAGGGGGAGATCATCATGGACCCCAGACTT